CATATCTTCTGAATTAATGTCACAGACTCACCCATAGACAGCACTGTCACAGACTCACTCATAGACAGCACTGTCACAAACTCAATCATAGACAGCTTTGTCACAGACTAACTCATAGACAACACTGTCACAGACTCACTCATAGACAACAGTCACAGACTCACTTAGACAGTAGTGTCACAAGCTCTGCATTCACAAAGTAAGAAGACAATTTGTTGTGACAAGCTCCTTCCTAAAGAAACGTTCTTTTTTTTAAAGAGTTTAAAAGTGACCAGAAGCTCAGACTTCATCAAGATCTTCTAGAGTTTGTTTTGCATTCTGACTCTTTCCGGCGTATACTATTACAGTGTAAAAGGTATTTTCTCTAATCAACACGCAGTGAGCAATAGAGGGAAATATACCTGACAGTGAGAGTTACTTATCTAGCACTTTTTTTTTTTTTAAATTACTGCTCACTATGCTTTTGATTCAGTCTCATTAAAGTGACATGAATTCTGTAACATGTTTGTTTATACTTTTGTAGTGCTCCGATGTTATAAGATAAGATAACTTTTAATGATCCAATCAAATGGAAATTCAGTTTGACTACAATTGATGACCTCAGCGTATGTTGCTTTTTTATTTATATTCAGTATTTTTATTAGTTGCATCAACATCTTTTGTATTGTCCCTTGCACTTTATTACAATTTTAATTGTTATAAATATATAGATAACTTTTGTGTAATTTTATTGGTCAGTCGAGAATATACTATAGACAAACGTTTTTTAATTTATTAAATTTAACACGAAATTCAATATTTTTTGTTGTAAAATTTTGATAATGATGAGTTTCTAAGACATTATTATAATTTTATGCCATTTTGACTAATTACTGTAAAAATAAAATTTATTATGAAATAAAATACAAAATTCTGTTATTAAAACACCCACAGAGTTCTCTATATCATTTTACTACGAAAATAAAAAAGGGAAATGTCATTCTTTGAAATGTAGATAATTGTTGGAAAAGATGTCATCCATATTAACTTGAGTAAGTATTTACTAGATTTAGAATTTCAAAGGTCAGATATAGTATCAGCATTAAACATACTCTTTCTTTGTACTAATAATGTTCTAAAACATAATAAAATGTTTCAATTCAACATTATGAAGAAATAATTGTAAAATATTGAATTAATAATTGTGGCTTTATATTCCAGAAGGAAATACAATTGAAAGTGTGTATAAATAACTACACATTATGTTAGGTGTGTCGTGTGGCACTTGTGTAGAACATTGGCTTTCCAATCCAAATATTCAGAGTTTGAGTCTCTTGAGTCGGAATTTTGTTTAAACTAAACATTATTGTTATTATTTTTACAATAATAGCTATACTAAGATGAACTGAAAATTGTAATAATAATTATATATATATATATATATAATGCTTTTTTGTAAAGAAATAGGTGCCGGTATTCAGTAATAGATTGCCTAACTACTAATAAATTAATAATAAACGTTTAAATACAAGAAAAGTTATATTTTTCCCACATTGAAAAATGTGCCGGTACGTGACAAAAAAGAACTGTACATATATATATATATGGTTCCGCAAGGTTGTTAACGCCGGAAGTGGTAATGGCTCTAAGCCCACCATTACCTATAAAATGCTTCCAAAGGCTCGCGTCTCAAATAGTCTCTGACAACCAGTCCAACTCATGGCCTTCACGTGTGGTTCAGATACTGAGCCCGGCTGAACTGTTATCACTAACAGGAGAAGGGGCAAAGGTGAGCAACTGGCCCTAAACTAGTAGGCTTCGGGCAGGAGGGGCTCGTTGGCCTTGGTTGGCTACCCATCTAGGAGAAGGAAAACTCTGAATCCAAACCTCCACTGCCTTGCGGGTATACCCAAACATGGGAAAGGCTTCGGGAGACAACCCTGAGGAAAAATCAGGAGCTGGTCACCCAGGCTTTCATCTCACTTGTTCGAGATGAACCATAGTCTTTCTACGTCTGAAGGAGGCCAATAGTGTATACAGATATATCATCATCTGTCTTTTAAATGTTGTCGCTTGGGTGCTGTTACGGTTCGCATAACACATTTCTTCACTCTTCCCACTAACAGCTATCCTTGGCAGAAATCAAGAGAAAGGTCGGTCCATTGTTTGACGTCGATCATCTAACGTTTTGTTTTGTAATTTTATTATTAACATTATGACCAAACCAGCTCAATGTTCGTCCCGTTACAGTATTGAGGAGTTCCTCCTTGTTTGCCAGCCAAAGTGTTGACTTTAAAAAGTACAAACCTATGTGGTGGGTTTGGCACAGAACAAACTAAGTGACATGACAAAGGTAACTCGTAGGACGATTCCAAACTGTTTATTATATACTAAAGACCTGCCAAAGGCAAACATAAAACATAATTACAAATGAACATAAACTAAACATAATTAATAAGCCTAAATGGTTAGACCAAGTTGTACACACAAAGTCAGGTCTAAATACTACATCAACAAATAGAAAATCTAATAATGTAAGCCAATCATCTCTTATCAGAACATAAGGAGGGATATGATACATCAGAAACATTATAAAAATTAATGACAAAGTAATTCTCTAACAAGATGGACATTTAACATTCTATATAAACTACTAATTAAAAGTACAATCTAATATAAATAAATAAAATGCAATTACCTGCAGCCATCCATAAACACATGGTGTAGAACCAGGCACAAACAGGGAGTGGAGACGACGTAGGTCCAGTAACATACGGACACTACAGCGACAAGAGATGCCGGTCGAATGGACAGTGCCCACGTTGGTCTGCCTTGTTAGGCGCGGACACAAGGTGCCATCTAGGGGGAAGAGTCACGTGGTATCGGGGTGGCCGGTGTTTTCTGAAAAGGTATCCGCTCCACTACACCTATGTGTTTTCTTTGCAGATATCTAATAGCAAACTTAGCATTCAATCTTAAAGGCTCCATTGCAGTGGCGTGGTGAAGGGGTGCGGAGGCGGGGAAAGGGGGCGCGATGCCCCGGGCGCCATACCTTAAAATATGATTTTTCTGGATATTTTCAATTCTTAAAAATTATTTTAAATGACAAACATTTTCACATCAGAGATACTTATTTTTTGCATGAGATGATCTTGTCTTATACATTCTCGTTTTGGTTAGTTTAATTCTACAAGAGATTTCCCTTGGCGTTAAATCTTAGGTATTCACCGTGTTGGGTGCAATGCGATGTGTTTATGACAACTGGTCAATAGGCATCTACAGTACTCTTTATGTTCTCGATAAAATTTTTTTTTACTTATAACAAATCTGATTTTAGATTATAATTCAGTGAATAGTAGATGAGTAAAACTGTTCTAAAAGAGCTCACTAAAATAATTAGATAGACCCATAAAAAAAAAGACTTTTTTTTTTGGTTGCAACATCTAGATCAACAATCAAGTGTTTTTGTTCAAGGATGAACTGCGCATGTGTTAGATTGATGCAATAGTGTTTGAACTGTAGGGGCGTGGCTTTGAGCAGAACAAAAAGGATGGAATATAAGTGAAGCAGATAAAGTTGACAGGAAGTGGATGTGAGTGCGTTAAAAATCATATCTAATCTTTTGAATTGTAGTTTGAATATTCACATGGAAATTCATAATGTCTACATACCTGTAAATAAATGATTTTAAAAAAAATATTTTGTTTCAGATGTAATTTTAATCAGTTTTGAAATAGAACTTCTTTAACACGCATATAAGCGAGGTTACATGCTACAACCCTTATAAATGCAATTTCTCCCCTAAATAGCACATGTTAGAAAACTAGATCTTTAGGTATTTGTTTTCTCTATCACATTAATACATCTCAATGATGGAATTTTCAGTTTTAATCTTCACGGAAAAATCTGGCACACCTACAGGGAAGCCAGTTAGGATGTATTGAAGATCATGTCCATTTTTTTAAAGCAATGTGGCTATTTTTATCTCCGTCGGACTGAGACCTGCGGCTCTTAGAGGACGAGAAAATGCCAAAGACTCCTGTGTTTGTTAGGAATAGCTGACAGAAATGTCAAACAATGCAGGTGAGTCATAGCCACATTTTTTTAAAGCATGTGAAGATGGAAGGATAGATTGTTGTTAGTGATAACTTGCAGGATACAGATGTGACGATTTATTGAAGGCAGCCTTCAAGTGCCTCCATGACCCAAAATCCGAGAGATTATCGACGGCAGTCGTTTGTTGCATTATCTTTGATACTGCTGTCAAAATAACTGATTAAGTCTGCATTTGTTTTGTGTTTAAAGCCATCAGGTCTGATTTGGCGCTAAGTTTGTATCCGTTAGTTATGATAGCACTGTCTGAGCACATTGCATAAAACGTTTCTCACTAAATAAACAAATGTTTTACTAAAGGTATTCGTCAACATTTTAATTGAGCGTATCAATTAAACATTTGTTTTTCAAAATAAGTAAACACCTGCAGGTTAGGAAGTGCTTTATAGTAGCCTAACACGCGAAGAAACGCAGTGTAAAAATTGGTCAGAGTTTAATTGCTTCATAACTCAGCTGAAATAAATACTCCAGCGACGTACAAATGTACATTCAAGATCGCTTGTATAAATCATAAGTATTTATTTAACTAGTTTGACTGACTAAACGTGAACTATAATTCATGACTAATGAACAAAGACTCCAATATCTTTCAGTTTGTAGTCCTTTTCAAGGACTTCTCGGTGTGACCCAACACATACACAGTATGACCCTAACATGACCAGGCTCCTCTTCACACTCAGTAGCTGAAATATGCATTCGAGCGTGAAGTGATGCATAATGCCCTGGAAGTTATGAGTGAACACAAAGGCAATAATGCTTCTGAATGGCTGAGATTTTGTGCTCCCCGGAGACTGGCACCTATACCAGTAAACTTTGGGCAGAAGGAGCTAGTTAGCCTTGGCTGGCTTAGTTCTAGGTAAGCAAACAAACAAGCAAAAAAAAAACAACATAAAAAATTAAAACCAATAGTTTTTTTAATTTCACAATTTTATTTTGTCTATATACACAACAGTTTTCAAAAATAGTTTTAATAAATAGTTTGTTTATGGAAAGAAATGATTGCATGAACAAAAAAAAAATAACACAGAAAGATAAACAGAATATGTGAAAGGGGGTGAAGTCAAGCAAACTGGTACCTCAATCTTACATTTTTATCGTATGCTAAGTTTTTCTATATCACATTGTATAAACCCCAGAGATAACTGACTACATAATTTCTCTGTTAAGAGTCAACCTGCTAGTCAATGGGCATGTTTCTTACAGTGTCAAACTGTGTATGTTCAAGTAGTTATGAAACAAAAACAGGCTGCTAGGAATGTTGCTATGGTTACTATCTACCTAATCCTATCAACACTAATAGATGTAAAAAAAAATAACAGAAAAATTCTTCTGTTATTGAATTATACCTTTCTACCTGTCAGATAAAATAAAAATCCATTTTTTATTTCAATGTGACTTGGTCACCACAGTTGACAGCTCAAAAGATAGCTACTTTATCATGTTGACTCCTGCAAAAGACTTAAGAATATGTCTTGAGTACTAACTCAGTATTTCATACAGTACAACTATAAACTGAACTTACAACAACAATGAAACATAGATGCCCATTCAAAATGAGATTTCAAATTAAAAAATCTGGGAAGCTTGAATTTATGTTATGTGTGAGGTCAGGTCATGTTGTCTTGCAACACATGATCCCTAGTGCACCCACCTATATAGATTTAATCTCTACATTACAAAACAAGAAAGGCTGCCTACAGATGAACCAATTTCCTGTTGCCAAAACTGTTGAGTTGGTAGAACCATTAAATTCAACTCTTTCCAGCTGCCTTTTCCAATCATTGAAAGTTGAAACATTTGACTAAGTTGACATCAAAATGAAGTGACAGGAAAGAGAAGGTAATTAAGTCTACTAATGAGTGCTTAATTAAGATACTAACTAAACTGATGAATTTGAGGTACACATGGGGAGAGGTGGCGGGGGGGGGGGGGGGGGGTTCCCAGACATATACACAAAATACACACTTTCTCAAAAGAAAAATGTTCAATCTTTGTCAAAACTATGTACAATCTTGAAATCAATCTCTCCAATATACAGCAAAGGTAACTTAAAAAGCAACAAACTCCTGTTAGACCTTACATTAGAAAAGTTGATTAAAAAAACAACAGAATACATTACAATAATAAATAAGCATACATGGTAAAACTATGTATTCACTGAGTCAGCTACTGAATCAGCCATAAAGATTAAAACTAAATCTGAACTTAGCAAAAGTGTCTGTTTACATTAGTAGAAACTGACAGTTTGACATTTAATAAAACACAAGATTTAATCATTTTAAAAAAGGGAAAAAAAACAACAACAAACTTACAGGAACATTTGTGAATCAATTGAGAATCATAGATAAAATGTTTTTTGTAACAATTTTTTAAAATATTTTGTTTCAAACATATTATTGTAAAGTGAAATAGAAAAATAGAAAACCTACATAGCAGGTGATGGGGAGGGAGGGGGGGTGTGTAGTTGAACAAGAAGTGTGCATAGGCACCCCATGAACTGGCCCTGAGTGGCTATCAGAGATTGGCTGGACACGCTTAGTTCAGCGGTTCAGTAACCTAAATTCAATTTTAAAATAGTTATGTTACAAAAAGTCAAATGGACTGCAGTAGAAAGAAGCTGTCCTGAAACACAAGACAGCAGATGTAGCAACAATTTCTTAGCATACTTAGCAATAGTCAATACAGTTACAATGTATACACAGTAAGCATTTGAAGCACCTGTTGCCCTATTCTTTCAGTGGAACCTCACACACACAATGACACAGACATTTCCATTCAAAAAGTGTTGGCAGTTATAATTGAAGAAGAGATGGCTAGAAATGAAACTCTGGGCACAAATAAAACAACAAATCTAACTGGTTGCTTGAAGTCTGGCAGAGTCCACAGCGTCCAGAAGATTCTTGGAGTCCATAGCCAAGGCATGAGCAGACTTGAGCATACTCTTTCTGTAGTCAGGCATAAGGGGAGTGTTGTAATTTTCTTGTGCTAGTCTCATGGCGCTGACTAGTGATGCCATGTCAGTTGACAGTACCTTCTGAGCCATGTCAATCTAAAAAAAAAAAGGGTACCAAAAGACATACACATAATGTTTCTGTCTTACAGAAAAAATATTTTAGGCTAAGAAATATGTGTTGAAATCTATTTAAAACTTTTATCCAACATTTACAAGGGGAAAAAAACTAAAATAGTCATAATGCAAACAGAATACTATAGAATAAAAATGACCCACAATGTTTTGATGGATGAAACAGCTACTATATTTCCAAAAGAGTGCTAATTCTTTATGAGTTCATTGTGTCTACAAACATCTGGACTTATCGAACACTTAAGTAAGATTGTTCTTTATTGATTTCTCATCAGCTTTTAACACTATACAACTTTATTTACTCATTGAAAAGATGAAAGCGTTGCAGATTAGTCCATACATAATACTATGGGCTAATGAATTTTTGACCCAGAGAGCTCTGAGGGTTAGGGTAAACAATGTTATATCTAATGAACGCATAGTTAACATAGGGGCGCCCCAGGGGGCTGTGACAATTCGCTGATGATGCGGCTCTTCTTGCCCTGCTCTCAGAGAGCTCAGACGTAAATGAGTATTTCAAAGAAATAGAACACATTGAAAAATACTGCAAAAATAATTTTTTATTATTAAATGTAAAAAAAAACAAAGAAATGATAATCGATGTTCGTAGGGACAAGAAGGAAAATGATACTGTTTCTGTAGCTGGAGAGACTATTGAAATTGTGCAAACCTTTAAATACTTTGGTACTATCCTAGACAATAAATTAAATTTTACTGCAAATACTGATTATATCAGCAAAAAAGGGCAGCAAAGATTACGATTACTAAGAAAACTGTCCTCGTTTAATGTTAGCGAAAAGGCCTTGGCTATGTTTTATCACGCTCACATCTGCAATATTTTAAGTTTCAATATCACTGCCTGGTATGGCAATCTGAGCATTAAAAATAAAAATAAACTTTATAGAATCCTAAATGCTGCTGGTAAAATCATTGGCAAAAAACAAGCCCCCATTTGGGCAGTTGTTTGAGACAAACATCTATATAAAGCTAACAAGATCCTCAAAATAAAGAATCCCCCATTGTGTCAGGATTTTGTGATTTTACCATCACAAAAGAGATACAAGACACAGATAGCAAAGACAAACAGACACAAACACTCTTTTGTTCCCCTGGCAATCAAATCACTAAATAAGAACAATCTGGTATAAACTTTGTCACGTGTAAATTATGAGTGAGTCTGGTGTGAATGTACACTTTGGTTTCTTATAGTTATAATGTTTTTTGTTTGGTGTAATGCACAAATTGTAAGACAAATTTCCATACGGATAATAAAGATTATTATTATTATTATTATAATCATCTTAAAAATAAATTTGGCTATTTGAACACAGGTATTCCTGCCTCAGGCTCAAATGTCAGTACAAAGTTGAATAAATAAATATCTCATGTACACATGTGCAGGTCTGGTTAAGAAAAACTTTAAATAGTGAAAGCTCACTAGAAAGACTCCTGGCAATATTGAAGTATTACAAGAATTAAATAGAATGAGATATTGTAGACTTGAATCATCTTCATAAAGAAGGAAATGATTTTTTAAAAAAAATAATTCTTGTTACTTGTCCAAACAAAATGTGATGTGAGCAAAACAAACCTGTTTGTGTGTTTCAGGTGGCAGTGTTGGCATTACTTCATCCACTTTACTGGACAACACTCTCAGCTCACTGCCAATTTTCTGTTCAATAAGCAGAACATTCATGAAATAAACATGTGGAGGGTGACACAATAACAATGCAACAGTTTTAAACTCAAAACTATCGTGCATAATCTTTTCAAAGATAAAAAAAATCAATCTTTTCTTTTAATATTAAATATCAAAAGATGTTGAAAGTAAGAGCATTATTCTCTTTCCTTGCATGAAAAGAAATCTACAAAAGATGATAAATCAAAGTGGTACTGGGGAATACTGTTGAGAAGCATTTAGATGCTAAAAGTGTTGAGAAGCAGTTAGAAGCTAAAAGTGTTGAGAAGCAGTTAGAAGCTAAAATTGTTGAGAAGCAGTAGACGCTGAGAATATGTTGGGAGCAAGTTTAAGTATGAACTAATAATAAAGATGCTTGAGGATCTTACTTTCACCATCTCCAAGTATCCCTCAGCATCCACATGTGGTGCCTCTTTGGTCATCATCATAACTGCTCTGACCACGCTGGTGGTACTGTCATAAACACTGTCATTCACTCTGGAAATCTGAAAAACAAACGAAAAACATTTCAAATAGAAACACACATACACACACAGAGCACATATTTTAAAAGAAACAACATGAGGTCAATAGACTTATGACAAGTATTATTCATTGATTTTGACAAAATATTTGTTAAACAATGTTCTTTTTTTTTTTCAGATGCATACAGAATTATAATAAAATTAATGATAAATAATTGCTTGTACTACTTAAAGCTAGTTTATATCAGATTGTTTACATTTCAACATTACAGGTGGTAATGGAAAATGCCTGGTTATATTTTTCATTAAAATTCTTGAAAACTCATGTTTGTTTTATTCTTAATATTTTAAAGGCAAGTAGGCCTACTAAAGATACCACTAAAATGCAGAGTTATGTAAACTCCCTTTACCTTCTGTAATGATCCAGTATCTGTTGAGTCACTTGTGCTACTGGTGCTACCTGAAATATTGATTGGTTGTAGAGGACTATCAGATTTTTTTGTTACTCTTCCACATAAATTACAATTTAACCTAAAAAGTGCAATGTGTGAATAGAACAATGTTTTTAAAAGTACTGGTAGTTGAAATTTAATGAAAAGTAAAGAAAAAGACATTACTTGATGTTCGTTGTAGTATCCTTGCTGTAGGCAAACTTCTGACACCAGATATTGTGGGTGGGGAGTTCTCCTTAGTATTATCACTGTGACCATGGTTGTGAGCAACAGAATCTCGTTTCTGAAATAGTTGGTTTGAATTGTATGATACAAGGACATCCTCATAAACCAAACAACTACATGTGTTGGTGTGTAGAGTTTCAGGACAAATTTCAACTATCAAAATAAGAAAATAAATTTCCTTTTTAAATTAACTATTTTTATAAAAATAATACTTAAAACAAAATATTTTGTCAATATCAGTATCATAAAATGAAAACACAGCCCTAAACTATGCTCCATTAAATAATGTAGACAAAAACTTGTTTATTTGTTGGTGGTTTTGGGCTTCTCTTCTATCATAAATACAAGGTAAAGCAAATTTTTAAGTGCTTAACTCTTTCTCTCCTAACTGACGATACCAATGTTGATTCCACCAGAATGTGGTAAATAATTACGGAGAGAAAGAGTTAATACAGTGCTATCTCTAGAGAAAACAAAATGCAGATGAGATTCCTAGAGGGAGGCAACATTTCATTCTGGAATAAAGAACAGCATGACTCAGGAGGAATATGTATAATGTTTCTCCTCCCTTCCCTGATTTCTGCATGTGTATTCTTTATTTAAAAAAAAACAACCTACAGTATCAGCAAGTACAACTGCTATTGAAAGAAATTGAGGACAAAGAAGATGAAGAAAATAATTATACACTAGTGTTGCTATTATGGGACAACATGGTACTTCAAACTCATACATTATAACATTATACACTAGTGTTGCTATTATGGTACAACATAGTACTTTAAACTCATAAATTATAAAACATTACAATGAGAGATTAGGACCATATGAAAAATTTGTTTTAGGATTATACACACTTAACAAAGTAGCCTACCAAATTTTTCTCTTCTGCCTCCAACCATCTGGAGTCTTCCTCAGACTCTTTCTGTTGCTGCTTCAATCTCATTTCAATGACGGCTTCATCCACATCCTCAACATGTCTGTGATGTGTAAAACCCTAGTGTC